TTTGAATAATAGTATGTAACATGAATTTATTAATATTATTATGAATTAAAATAAATATAAGATGAATAAGGGCAATTGGGACAATTCAGAGGAGTTAGTGAGGGTATTATGGAGAAAGCCCAATTATGAGGCCCAATACTAGGTTTAACAAAAAGGAAATTGGAAAGGGATTAGGATTCATTTGTTAGACCGTAAAAAGTATTGAGGCCAGAGCTCTGAGGAGAGGGTTGAAGGCAGAAGCTTCGAGAGATTCCTTGAAAGATTTGTGAAGGCTTTGAATCGACGGTTAAGGTATGGGGAGTATTACCTTTATGATTTTCCATGTGTAACTTTCAATGTATTTAAGGTCTATTTAAGGTTTAGGAGATTTTGAGGGTGGATATGAGAAATAGTGATCTTTGGCCTTCGTGGCCTAAATCGGTTATTATGAACCTAACCGTGGAATTCATTGGGGAAAAAGGAACCTTAGGCCTTCGTGGCCAAAAACTATGATTTGACTTTGTCTAACCCTGAAGGGATAGGAATATTAAATAGTGTGTAACTCTGATGCCTTTGGGGAAATTGTAGGGAAATTTGTGATTTAGGGCGTGAATATGATACGGGATTGGCCTAATAAACCGTAGGTTTTGTACCTTTATCACTGTAAGACCTTAGGGATGATTTAGGGATATTTTGGGGGCATTGGGGAAGTGAATCGTGTGGACATTTGGGTGGATTTAGGTTCTGGTGCATAGCAGAATTTGCTGTTATCGCATTATTCGTCTAGCGAACCATGTTGTTCCCAGACTCGCCTAGCAAAGAATCCTTCGCTTAGCGAAGAAGCTCGCCCCAGACTCGCTTAGCGAACATGCCAGCGAATATAGCAGAGTTTTGTGAATGTTGATCGTGTGCAGCGATGCCTTGATGTTTGATTATGTGATTTCTTTACTTGTTTGTTGTTGCCTTGGACCATAACTTCTTTATCAAAAACGAAATCTGAAAATTTCAGTGCAAAGTGGGAGCTCGAGCAGGGGTTCTAGGGGCTTTCTAAGCTTAGTTTTTAGTGAAAATGCTTCCTCTATTTATAACTGAGGTGAATGAATGGGATACATGTGAGAATTAGTTGCAATCGTGTGAAATGAAGTGTGCCAAAAGCTTGATCATGACGTCATCCAAAATGCAGTGCATTCTCCCACATTTTGAGTCGTTTTGCATCACAAACCATCACTTAACATCATCATGGATAAAACACGTGCAAGGCTTGGCTTAATGTTGAGAATTGGATGAAATTGCAAGACTTATCATGAACCATAACTAAGTCCCAAGTAACCATGTCCATAGTTAGGCCAAATGCAATCTACTCGTGCACTTCTTGATTTTCTTTGAGCCAAATGACCCTTTCATGGAGGAGAACATAATGCAAAATAATCAACCTAAAAGGATGCTTGAGGTGAAAATGACATGAGTTAGAAGTTGAGGTCGTGACACTAAAAATCAGGTCAGGAATTAGGTCAAACAGGTAATGACCTAGTTTTGTGCACAAATGACCCTCAAGATTTGAGGTCCTTAGAGAATGAATTGATGTTTGAACTCTAAATAAAAGTTATAGAGGACATCAAGAAGGGTATATGGTAAAAAGAAGCGCCCATAAAAGTTGAAAATTGAAGAAGTTATGATCTATGGAACATAGGCATGCCATACTTGAATTTAGGCCAAAAATTTCTAAGTCCACAAAATGACCTATAATGTCCTTAAACTTTTGATGATCTTACAAGCATAATTGGCTCTTGACTTGTGAAAAGAAGTTGGAGAGTATGTCAAGATGATTCATTTTCATAAAGAAGCACTAAAAAATGTTGAAGTATGAAGAATTTATAAAGTCTTAAACTTAGGCTTGAAATGTTGAGTTTTTGGTCAAACCTCATTGAACAAACTTGAAACCTTGGATACTTTCTTGCATTTTAAGGCACATTGATGATCATATAGACTCAAAATGATGTACTATTTATTTCCCTTTGATGAAGCTTGAAATGTCTTGAGGAAACTTGTTGACGAAGGCATGGAAATAAACACACGAACCTTTGAAATTTCTTGAGAAACAAGCTACCAAACCTTGAAACATCTTTGATCAAATGAAGTTGAATCATGCTTAAGACTTTATGCTTTAAGATTAGAGGCCATGATTTGATGAATAGCCTTTAAAAATCAATGGTTGACCACTTTTTGACTTGAGGAACTCAAACTCTAGTTGAGGATACAATCACTTGATGCTCTTGATTTTAAACCTACCTTGCAAAAGAAACAAAAGGGGACAAAACATATTTTTTTGTATTTTGATTAGTGGTTATTGAATTATAAAACATATAAGTACAAAAATATGTAAAGAAAATACACAAGAGGTTTTTGGTGATCTCCGCAAAGGAAAACCCGAAAGTGGGAGGGTTAAGAGACAACCAAGTTTGTGATCTTGATATATTGTAAAGAAAAAAATGAGGTGACATCTTATAGGTAAAAATTAGGATATGACACGGTGTACTTAAGTAGATGTAAAAAACCGTAAGGTACAGTGCACTTAAGTAGAATATAGAATGTGGTAAGGTACCACGCGCTTAGGTAATATACGGTACACCATAAGATATGGTGCACGTGCACTTAAGTGAGATTTTTAGCTTGCAGCCCACACAAGTGGTTCTATAAATACATCCTTGTGCAAAAGCATTCACTCTTGATGAAAATTCGGACTGTGAAACCTTAGTCATATTTTCCTCATCTCTCTCTCTCTCTCTCTCTCTCTCTCTCTCTCTCTCTCCCCCTCTCTCTCTCTCTCTCTCTCTCTCTCTCTCTCTCTCTCTCTCTCTCTCTCTCTCTCTCTCTCTCTCTCTCACTCAAAGCCTTTAATCATAGCAGCTAGCACTGACACTGAAGGAATTTGTTAGTGTGGAGTGAGTATAGGTGTTGTTCATCATTCAACGCTTGTGATCACTCCTTCGATTCAGAATCAAAGGCTTTATCATCACAAGAGGTAATAGTTTCTATCAATGATCATGCCCATTCGCAAGGATCACTAAAAGGAAAAATTTAATTTTTGTTGCATTTTGGATCACGATTTCTCTTCAAGCCATGGCTAAAATAAAGGAGAGGAAACATCAATTATAAATGAGAGAGTGAGTGTGTGTGTGTGTGTGTGTGTGTGAGAGAGAGAGAGAGAGAGAGAGAGAGAGAGAGAGATGTGCTACTTGGAAATAATTGGAAGTTTGAAGGTGAGAAGTACAATGAAAGGTTGCTTTGAGAGTGAGATGAGCCAAGGGTGTGCAAAATCCAAAGAAAGAAAGGAGCATATAAAATAAGAATCGTTGATACTCAGGGAAGAAGAGTTTGAATTTGAAAATAAAAGTGAGAAGTTATAGTTTATTCGAAGAATAGAAACATTCACTAAAAAGCAAAATAGCCTTTATATAATGAAGTGAGATAAACTACAACCCTAAATGATAGAAAATAGGCAAATGAAAAACAATAGTCTGATTTGCCTTAAAAGTACCACAATACTCGAGTACACTTGAGCACCCTAAAGGGGAGAATCACACCCTACTCTAGGAATCTAGGACCACATGTAAGGGCAATCCTACAAAGTGTCACAACGATAAGCTATCATTTAGTGCACCTATTCCCAAGGTCACTAAATCCAATTGTTTGAATCTTTTCAACTTTTGCAAGCAAAGGACCCACCTTGAGGATCCCAACCTAGGGCGACGCCGAGTAGGTTTTTTGGAAGAATCATCATTATTATGTTATGGAAAGCCTTGAGGAAAACTGTTTTGGATTGACCAGAGACCCAATAACAGAAAAACCCAATCATATGTCCAAAGTTATAAGGTGTTGGGGGCACAATACATATGCGACCTTATGACCCATATTTGATCCACACCACAAACAATCATTTGTCATTAGATATCATCCAACAATTCCACTCATACAAAAAGATCTCTAAGTGCCTATCATATATATAAGAGATTCCCACACAAGACCTAAAGTATGCTCTAATTATAATTTACACACACACACACACACACACAATTTTTTCTCACTAACTGATTTGAACGTTCAAGTATTAACTTTACAAATCAATCTCTTCACTGTTGCACCCGAAACCTGCTCCATCGCACCAAGACTTCATCACACTTTAATAAACCAAGACTTCATCACATTTTAATAAACCGTGACACAGTAATCAAACTTAAACTATTTAAAAATTAAAACTAATTTAAAAGTGTTTTAAAATATTACTTATTTAAATTAAAATATTAATTTTACAAAAATTAAATCTAACTGATTAGATTTTTTCTACACTAATCAAATGAAAAATAACACGAAAATTCAAACAATAAATTATGCGTTATTTTTTTCTAAAAAAAAATTAAAATTTATTATATCACAAATTATAATTCATTTTGCAGAGTTTCAATTTATAAATTATTTTAAAATTCCATTTTTTTAATATACTCTCTATTTAGCTATTATTTTTCCTTTCTCCAATTCTTTTAATTTATCTTTTCTTTATACTTAATAAAAAATAATTTTATAAAATTATACCTAATTTCTCATTCTTATCCAAAATCAATTGTATTTTTCCTAATTAATGTGAAACCCCCAAACTTTTTATAATTTAGGACGGAAGTAAGAACTCATTAGATTTTTTCTACACCAATCAAACTAAAAATAACACACACAAATCCAAACAATAGATTCTAGGTTGTTTTTATTTTGTCGTAATATGTTATAATCTACAAATTGTTTTTTTATTTATTTAAGTCAAATTTATTAATTACAAAATAAAAACTCAACAGTGACTTGGCTTTCCCAAAAATCAAACACGGGGGAACATAATCAAAAGATTCGGTACATACAATCTCAGATTCTCTTTCTTCCTTCGCTTCCTTCTACTCTAAGGAATCCATTTCTGTTTGAAGGTAGAAAAGCAAAAAGGAAGAGTGAGATCGAAAGAGGTAAACTGAAACCGTGAAATGGGAGTGTTTTCCAATAAGATCGATCGAGAACAACTCAAGCCTGGTGATCACATTTACTCATGGAGACAAGCATACATTTACGCTCATCACGGTATCTTATTAGTTTCTTCTCAAAGTTCGAATTTTTTTAATGTTTTTCTTCATGGGTATTTGTTGTTTGCTTTTGTTTTTGCTTTAATTTCACAAAATTGATTCTGGTTTTTTTTTTTTTTAATTTTGTTTCTGCTGACGTTGGGGTCCTGTAATTTCGTCAATTTGTTGCTGTGTTGGAAAATTACTTGTGGATTGTTGGTAGCCAACTTGAAATTCAGTATGCTGAGGCAATATAGTTGCTGTAAAATTAAGCAAGCCATAGATTTAACTTTAAGAGATTAATGTAGGGATGATAATAAATGCTTATGTTGGAATTTGGAACCTATGGTTCTCCCCAATTTTTAGAGGGAGTGTTGGTTGGTCTTGCTTTCTCATGGTTATTGGGGTGATCTTGTTGTGCTGTGTTATAACTATGGGCGTGTAAAGTATTGAGAGATCAGAGTCGTCTTGAGTTTTCGGAGACCTGTGTAACTCAACCACTACAAAAACCTGCATGTTAAGTCATTTTAAAACTTATGTTCAAACTTATTTCGTCAATGTGAGATCTTGAGAGACCTCTCTTGCTTCTAAAGACTAGACATTTGAGACGTGACCATAGTGACACGATAGTGGTGACATGCTATGCCCAACAAAGTTTGAGTAGACTCTTATCCTATATAAGAATTTGGGTTAGGCCTAATTAAATCTTTACAAAATTGATTTGTAAGGTGAACACTGCATTGCCCCAATGTATAAACTCTTGTTCACCTTATCTCATCCAGTGTGAGACTTTTAACAACTATATGTGTCGATGTTGTGTAGGTGTCAGACACTGACAGTTGAAACACCTTCGATCTGAAATGTCATGCTACATAGATCTTGGCTGCTATCTTTTATCGACACCTTAAATCTCGAGGTGTTGATATTTACTAGCCCACTGCCCATATTTCTGACAGTTAACAATCTTTTATATTGAGTAGGCTTTCAGAGCCTGTGAACCAAGTCCTACCAGGTTGATATTCAAAGTTCAAGTTTTACGATAAAAAATTCCTGAATTACTTGATATTTCTTCGATAGATTTTGTATTGTAAATTTGTTTGACTTGGTATTGCAATTTACAAGTCATTGATGGTACTAGTGAGCAGAGCACCAATGAATCTGGAGGAAAATTTCTGTTTTAACCTTAGAAGCTAATGCATAAACCCATCAACTCTTTACTTTTTCCTTGAAGCACTAGTCCTCATGATTATTTTATTAACTTTTCTTTAAGTTTAGCCATTATTTTTGTTTAGTTTCTTTCATTAAACTTTACTCTCCATTTAAACTATCTTACTTACAATAGTTAAATTTTTATCCAATCAAGTAAGTCTAAGGATCTGCAGGAAATCTTAGTGAATTTCGGACTTGTGATTTAATTGCGTTTCGTACATTAACATATATAAGTTATGAGTTCTTTATAATCTGTCAAATTTCATGAATGTATTTTGTTGAGTTTGGACCATGTGTGAACAATTCATTGGCATCACCAGCTGTAGGCGAATCTTTCAGTCTATGTAGTTTTATATTGCACTTTTGTTCCTTAAATATGATGGAACTATTTGGTAGTCGGATCTGTCATTTTAGAAACTTCAACTTAAAATAGACTTAGCATCTATGATTTTTGATTCTATAATGCGTGATTATGTCGAATTTGTCATATTGTTTTTGCCAACTACTTTTATGCAAAATTGCAGGAATATATGTTGGAGATGGAATGGTGAACCACTTTACGAGGGGAGGAGGGCAAGAAATTGGAACAGGAACCGTGTTGGACCGTTTCCTTTGCAGTTCATCACCCTCCAATGATACCGACACTCCATGCCCAAAATGTGGTGACCAAAATAAAACCGACGGTGTCATCTCTTCCTGTTTGGATTGTTTCCTCTCCGGTGATAGTCTCTACCTTTTCGAGTACGGTGTCTCAACTGCATACTTTCTGGCCAAAACTCGAGGCGGCACTTGCACCCTTGCAGTTGCTGATCCAAATGAAGACGTCCTTCGCCGCGCTTCTTTTCTTCTTGAAAACGGATTTGGTGGTTACAATGTTTTCAATAACAACTGCGAAGACTTTGCAGTTTACTGCAAAACAGGCCTGCTTATATCCACAAGCATCAGTGTTGGCCGGAGCGGACAAGCAGCGTCTTGCTTGGCTGCTGCTAGTACCGTGATTTCTACACCACTCCGTTTTATGACAACCAGTTTCAGTGGTTTGGCTGCTGTTGGATACGGCATGTACTGCGTGAGTCGGTTGGTTTCTGATATTGGTGTTCGTCGCGATGTTTCCAAGGTTCCCGTCGAAAGGCTTGTAGCTTCACCAGACATAGATGAACCTGAGAAGATGGAAATGCTTATAGCTTCACCTGAAATTGATGCAACCGAGAAGGCAGCGGAGGTTACCAAAGAAGATTAGAGTTGGTTGAACAAACTCTTGTTGAATTTTAAACTTATATGTAAGCTTGTATGTATGTTATGTATGTTAAATGTGTGAAGTTTAATCATCTCCCTCCAACATTTATGGTTACATTTGTGCATTTTCTTTAACTGTATGGAAGATGTTATGCACAAAGGATATTGTATCACTGATAACATATAAATTTTATTTTAAGAACTGTGATTCTTTGTTACCTAACTTGGAAATAGGCTTAGTTTTATAAAATAAAGGAAGCACAATGATGAGTATGTCATACCATCTAAACATGTTTAATCTGTTGGTCCCCTCCCATTGATCAGTGGATAAGGCTTAATACAGATGGAGTGGTTAAAGGAAATTTGAAAGCAGCTATGGGGGAGCTTTAAGGGACTCTAATGGAATGTGGTGCGGAGGTTTCTCCAACAATTTGGGAACTGGTACAGTCATTGATGCAGAGACGAGAGCAATTCAAGATGGATTACAATATGTTTGATAGAGGTTTTAGGAAAGTTGAACTCCATACATACAATAAGAAGGTGTTCCAAGTTATTAATAAGAATGATATCAAGTCCAATGCAAACAAATATATTATGCAAAATATCATTTTACTTCTCAATCGGAACCGGGAGGTCAAGTTAAATCACATATTTAGAGAAGCGAATAGATGCAAAATATAATGGAAAATTTGAGCCTCCATCATGATATAAGAATCATGTTTTATGATGACTTATCGATGGAGATTCAATCGGGGAGGCTATCCCTCGAGTACTTAAGTTGTAGTTTCTTTTCTTTTTGGGGGCTTTTAGCCCTCTCTTGTACCAATATATGTTAGACTAATTATTTAATTAATCAAATATGAATTTATATAATTAATTATATTATGGTTTATTGTTATTAAACACTAAATAAATGAATTATTTGATTGAGTTTTGTGTCTGAATGGATCATGATGTATCACTACTGATAGGTATGCTCAGATACCCTACAATCTCTATGTAGTAGCATCCGCTCCTAATCAGTACCCACCACAGTCGCATCCTACCCCTACCCACGCCATATATTCAGATCCTTCCGTATCTAATTTCGAAGGGATTGGTGGAGATTAAACTTCTAACACCTCCTCCCACACCTGCTCCTCGAGGATTTGAAGCTAATGCTAGATGTGAATTTCATGCTGGTTCACCGAGGCATACAACTGAGAAATCTTTGTCCCTCAAATTCAAGGTACAAGAATTGCTCGATCAAAAAATTATCACATTCACTCATGAAAATCCACATGCGAGAGATAATCCATTACTAGGGCACACTAGGGCAAATGTTAATGCAATTGAAGGGCTAGAAAATGGCGTCACGATCAAGAGGGTAGACCAAGTAAAAACCCTTTGACCAAAATAATGGAAATATTGATTAGCTACGATTCGTTTGAAAAGTTGCACACTGATTGTAAGGTTTGTTTGCTCAATCCTGACAAATGTGAAAAGATGAAAAAATGTCTTTGTTATACCTCAAATTTTTACCCCTAGATTCCATCGTCATTCTAGGAGCATCATCATTGTTTATCTAACCCTGACCTATTTCAAGTTTGTCTTTGTCAAGATGCAGATGAATTAGGGTTCCATACAGTTAGGAATCATGGTTTCTATGGTTTGATCAGTCAAGGTTTTGGATTGATTCTCCATATAACAACTCTCTACATCATAAATAATACTATATTGGACCAAGTATGAATCCAATTTGAGGTTGTCACCTAAGGAAGAAGAGCAGTTCAGTCCAGGACCCCCGATTAGGGTTTTTGATCAGGAAAGTCAACTGTGGTTTGACTTTAGGTTTAAATGACATTTCAATGGTGGAATCATGGTCCATGAAGCTTATATGACTCATTGAAGTCCCCTTAAGAAGTTTCAAGGCCTCAGGGAACCCAGAACACCAACAGTCGATTTAGAGGTTTTCGGTCGTTCGGTTCGTCTAACTGAAAAGTCAACCCATTGACCAACAGGGTTTTAACCTAAAATTGAATTCATTTATGTTACCAATGTTATGTTATATCTAATCACGAAGTTTGATGACCATTGGATCAAGATTTGAGAAGTAATCAAAAAGTCAGGAAATTAGGATTTTGAAAGGGGCAAGACCATAACTTCCTAACCACACATCCAATTGGAGTGGTTCAAATCTTGTTGTAAAGGTCTTGAGAAGTCCTACAGAAGTGCCAAAGTGACCTATGTGCAAAAAATGAATAGATTTTGAGTTATGATCAAAAACAAGTTAAGAGGAGAAAAATACAGAGGAATTTCATGTTTTTGGCTCTTTTAAGTCATGTTTTCAGCCAACTTCAAGGGAATTTTCGACCTAGTTCCACTTGGAATTTAAAAAAAGTGTAAAACATGAAAGTTGTAGAGCATGATGAGGGCTTTCGAAAAAGTACAAGAACTCCTCCATAACATTTATGAGCTAGGAGTTTCGAAAGAGGGAAGTTAGGGTCCAAAAGCTTGAAATGTGAGACTTCAACTTGTCATGAACCAATGCAAAAACTAGCCAATTAGTTCTTAACTACTTGGTTAACCCTTAATATGATGTTTAGAGGATTGATGGATGGAAATGCAATAGGAATCCATGAGCAAAATCAAAGTTTTGGCTAAGAGCATTATTAAAATCAAAGAAAGTACAAAAGTACATGATGAAAGAGAAAGCTTTAGAGCAAAATTTGTTGCAGCATAGAGATTCTCCTCTAGCCATCTCTATAGTCACCTCATGCAGATAGGTATCAACCTGTTTTAATGCTAAGATGCATTGGAAACAAGCTTGGCTGGCAGAAGCAAGATCACAAGTGGATTTGCTCACCCTTCCCTCCAAAAAGGCAAGATCTTGCAAAATGATCAATCTGCCTTCACCCTTGGTTTTCTTGTTTACCATATAAATAGAACCTCACTTTTACTCCAAAGGAACACCAGAGCTAGTAAGAATCAAAGCCAAAGCACTCTCTTCCACATGTTTTCCTCTTTCTTGCAATCTAAGCAATTCACCTCAAAAACCTCAAAATCTGCCTTGAGCAGAATTGGCCTTAAACCCATTTCTAACCACCATACATCAATACCAACACTTAACACAAACCACAAATGGTCCATTGAAGCTATTCCAACCATTATCCCAACCAGAAACCTTGTATTTTAAAAATTCAACCCTCAACCAACGAACTTTGACTTTTTGCACAAAGCAATATAACTCTCTGCTCATACTTGTTCTAGCCTCCATAACACCTCAAACACCATGAGTATAAAGTGTACTCACCGTCCAAACCATCAAAGATCAACTGTCCCACCATTTTGTGGGTCTGTCATAAAAGTCCACTTGTTGCTTCAAGTGTAAGCAATTTTGTTTTGCACAAAAACTTGCTTGGAAGAAACTTGAGCTGCTTGGACTATGCACTAGAAGTGTGGAGAAGCTGGTCAAACCATCTACAACTCAACTAACAACTTGGCACCAAGAGTTTTCTTTGGAAGTCTTCAAGAGGTAAGTCACCTCTATTAAATGTACTCATTATGCACCATGGTTATGCTTGATGTACACTAGCTTGAATATGCTTAGAACCCTCCCCACATACCATGTTTGAACTTTGTTTATGATTGTTCTCATAGGCTTGTAAACTTTCATGAGATTAGATGCTTGACTTTGTCTTGTTGTTTTTCATTCCATAAGCCATTTTGTGATTCTGTCTAGGGTCAATATCATGTTTGTGGTTGAGTTCATTTATAGGTCCTCTTGAACATGTATGAACCTTATATGATGAGAGGCTGATGCACTTGTGAGTTTTTCTGTTTGTGTATGCTGAGATAGTTTGAACTTGCCCTTCCATGAGCCATATTTTGTTTCTGCCTAAGTTTGAGGTTGTGTTTTTGTTTGAACACATTTATAGGTCATAATGCACATGTAGAACTAATGAATAATGCAGGATGTATGTGTTTGTGAACTATATTGTTTTGATGCCTTTAGTTTGTTAGGTGTTTTAAATGTGCCAAGTTGTTGATTCTATTTGGATCAATTTTTGGTTGGATAAGGAGTCTCATTTGTGTGTCATTATAGTTATGTGAATCATATTTGAGTCTTGAGCTTGCTTTGTTTGAAACTGTCATGAACTCATTTGTTGACAACATGTCACCATTGTATCCACATGTTCCATTTGATGTTTTGGTTAAGATCTGAGTCTTATATGCTTATGAACACTTTGTACATGATATTTGGGATGTGTTTGAACTCTCTTTCTGACTGTAGCATGATTGAGCAATCCATTAATGTTGAAAATGCATTTTGACATCAGTTTCTTCATTTACATTCAAATTTTGAAATGTGTTTACTTTCAAAGGAAATTGAGAGCATCATTGCATTCCTCTTTCAATTTCAAGCAGTTTAGAATAAAATTTTGTTAAATTCCATTGAGTTTTGACTGAGTTTGAGTTGTTCACGTTTTTGGTTTTGTGCTTGGTTTGGTATGGTTATTTGCCCAGAAATCAGGACTTTAAAGGTTATGATTTTATTGGATGTTTTGATACATTGGATGTATCACCACCCCAGTGGTTATGACTTGCGCGCCTTGTGTATTCTTTGTCTTGCCACATGAGTTCGATCCTGGCTGAGGACAACTCTTTTACATTTTTGTGACTTTCTTGTATTTTTAACATATGTTGATGCTTTCTCCTTTTGTTGTCTCACGCATACCATAGATGGTTTGATAAGGTTTTAGGCTTGTGGACTAGAGGGCGTGTGTTCAACCCTTGTGGAGGACACTTCCATTATTTTTGTCACGTTTCTTCATGATTTCTTCACAAATTTGAATTTACCATAACTTATTCATTTTTTAAAATCATTTTTACCCTATTCTTTTTGAAAATTGTTCTTCATCATGTCTATTTTCAAATAGTAAGTGAAGAATTCAAGGATGCCTATCTTGGAAATACTTTAACTCACTTGGAAATCATGTGGTTTTTAGGATTTTCACCTTACTC